CGCTCTGCCACTCTCTGGTTACATCGTCTCTCACTCACTCACTTACACCGTTGTCGTCGTCGTCGTTGTCGGCGTCATCGCCGTCATCATTTCGTTTGTATACATTGCTCTTGTGCGTGTTTTATTTGTGCTGCTGCTGCTGCTGCTGCTGTAGCTACTGGTGCTGTTGACAAAACTGTTTGCCGAACTGAAAATAAAACACATGTATACGTTTTCGTGTAAGTGTGGGTTCTATTTGTGAACAACACTCTCAGCTGGTGGATAGCCGGGCTGTATTGCACGTATGTGTGAGTGTTGGTGTAGTGTGATTGTGTATGTAAGCCGGTACTCATGAACACGAATCGATCTTTGTCGCTGATTTTTTTTTCTTCTTCTCTCTGTCTCTCTTGGTCGGTTTTCTACATGTAATGTTCGAGTTCTTGTTTGCTTTTTCTCTTCAAAGCGATATATTTTTTCCCCATTCAATTTTCTATATATATGTATTGCCGTAATTGTATTCCATACTGGCTTTGTTTGTAATCACTTTTTTTTTCGTCTGTTGTTGTTGGTTTTTGGATAAAATTAACGTTGATGGGAGAGAAATTGAGAAGGGAATGAAGACAGAGAGAAGTGGTAAAAAAAGGGCTAAAGAACCATTGATAATGCGATATATTCGGAATGTTATATGAAAAGGAAGACGATGCAATGACGACACAACAGTTAGACGACTTGAAACATGTGAAATTTATGTCAACCCAAGCAAAACCACATATTTTTCATCATATTTTCAAAAGCAGCGATTTTCGATGAAAGAAGAAGCAGCCGGGAAAAAAAGAAGACACACATAGCACCAGAGGCAAGGTTGCTGATGTGGGCAAATTGTTTGTTTTCATTGCACTGCCTTTTTCCCTTGTTCGCCGCCTCAAATTTTTCTTGTAAAATTTTTTTTTCTTCTCTTCCATCCTCGTTGTCATCGTCTTCTCATCATGTTTTACTCCTTTTTTTCGCTGGTTCTTGGTGACTTTCTTCGAAATGCATATGTCAGAGAGAGAGAGAGAGCGTAGTTTTTGGTCTGTTTCACATTAAAATGAATTTCATGTGCTCAATGGATACGCGATGAATGGGCTGTAAAATGTTGACGACGATGAAAAAATACAGAAAACGTCACGATTGGGAAACAAGCAACAGCGTTGACATCGTCGTCGTCGTCGTCGTCGTCCTGAACACACATTCAAATCCAAATGTTTTGTTTTTTTTACTCTCTTCTCATCGTTTTTTTCCTCCTCTGGTGCTGCTGCTGCTGCTGCTGCTGCTTTAAAATTCGCTTAAGCAAAAGCAAGGAAGAACGAACGAACGAATGAAAAAAAAGCAACAGCGACCGAATCGAGTCTATTACAATTAAAGTCAGCAATAAAGATTCAAAATTTATTTGGTTTAAGCGTGTAAATTTTTTGATTCGCACTTTGCATTTTATTCACCGACCCAATGGATATAATGTTTTTTTAGGCAGATTTTTTTTTTGTTCATTCTGTTTCGTTTGTTTCTTGCCTGTTGTTTATTCGTTTCGTTTTCTGCTGCTGGCTTGATGTTGTTGTTGCATTTGTCATGCACTTTTGCTTTAACCAAGCGAGTCATTATTGTGCACAGTGCCTAAAATATACAATTTATTATAACGATACACGGCAGAAAAAGGGGAGAGCAGCAGCAGCAGCAGCAGAAAAAAACGCCAGAGACACAGCCTGAACACGAAAACAAATTCTTGTGTAATGGTGTGTACGACTGCGAATCCAAATGTGAATGTGATGTGCGAAAAAAAACACAGCAGCAGCAGCAGCACTATTGAAAATCAGCGAGTAACTAAAGCTGTTCACTGTGCTCATATTCATATGCAGATCATTTATATGTTATGTGTTTTAATGTTGTTGATTTTTTTTCTTTGCAGTTCTCTCTCTCTCTCTCTCTCTCTCTCTCGCGCGCGCTGTTTCAATTTCATATAGTTATATTCTACTCTCTGGCAATTGGCAAAGTACCGAAAGCCGAGCCCAAATGTTGTTCTCTCGTTGTGTTCACCGGGGCCGGCTTGAAGAGTCGCGATTTTACGCGAACACAACAACAACGAGCAAGAAGAAAAAACAACAACGAGAAATAAAACCATTCCGCCGTTGCCTGTATGTATATGCATTACAATATCACTTTGGCGTTCGTTCGTTCGCTCGATTATACTTTGTTTGCATAAAATTGAGCTGAGCCCGTATCGTGTGCTATATGCTTATATTTTTTTTCTTCGTTTTTTTTTCGTTGCTGTTTTTTTCTCTGTGTGTGTATGAAGTGCATAGAAAAAAACATTTTCATTGCAACTAACGATACACAGAGAGTGTGAAGAAATGAAGACGACGACGACGAAATGAATATAGAAATAAATGAGAGAGAAGCAGAAAAACAAAACAAAGCGCAGTAGTGACCAAATGGAAAGCGAGTCGTGTCGTGATTGCGAGTCATTTGCCGGCCCCGAAGTTTTGTCAAAATCGAAATTGACTCCGGCTTCGAAGCAACAGCAGCACTAGCAACAACAACGAAAATTGAACCGAAACACACTTGGGAATACGCGTTCATTTCGCACAAATACACTTTGATTATAGTTATACGGTGGAGTGCAAATTATTATTATTGCTATTCGCTCACAATTTTTTTTTTCTTCATCGTTACTTCTTTCCATTTCGTTTCGTTTCGTTTCGTCGTTCGCTCTTCTACTTCTTCTCTATTGCTCTGTGTGTTCTTCAACTTGATTTGTATGTGTTTTTTTTCTCTTCTCTTCAGCTGCGTTCAGTCTCTCTCTCTCTCTCTCTCTCTCTCTCTCTCTCTCCATTGCTCGCTCGCTCGCTTTATGGTGGATTTAATTTGACTTCACACAAATGTTTACATTTTAATTTATAGGTTTATGTTTGCCTCGGATTTTTTTTTTTGCTTTCTTCTTTTCCTATTATAAAGTTCTTTATTCCGATGCCTTTTAAAATATAAAGTACATCACTGTTTTTTTTCTCTGTGCGGCCACTGTTGCTGCTGCTGCTGCCATCACCACACGCCGTTCATTTTGGGTCTGACTGTGTGCACACGGCAGCGCTTCTACAAGCAAATGACGAGAGTGAAAAAACACACCAACAACGACCAGCAAGCAAAAGAATTAATGACTTGATTTTTGATTTACGCTTGGCAGCAAGAGCAAAAAATAGGCATTTTTTCCCTTTGCCGTTCATTTTCCCACTTGCACCGAATGCAAGCTCAAAGAAAATATGTACGTAATTCAACAAATGACCGACTGCTAACGAAAACACTCACACATCAAAGAGATAGAGAGAGAGAGAGAGAGAGAGAGAGAGAGAGAGAGAGAGAGAGAGAGCGAGAGAGAGTCATTTAGTGTTGACGTTTGATTCGGTTGACAAATAACGAAGAATCCATTGCAATGGACCAGCAAATGATGTCAAAATGAAGCGCATACACACATCCCAGAAAAAAAACGAGAACCATTCTTTTCAAAGCACAAAGACGGCAAGAAAGTAGAGAGAGAGAGAGAAAAGAAAAAACACGACTCAACTCAAAGATTTTCATTATATGGCAAAAATGTGTGTATTTTCTCTTTCTCCTTCAGCATTCGATTGATGATGGAGCCAACTCGATTGATGGACTCGATCGAACGAACGAATGGGAAAAAAAAACGTAAACCGGAAAGAAGAAGAGAAGGAAGAAAAAAACACACCAGCTCGAAGTTTATTTGACAAAATTAATCGAACACTCAGCACTTTTTTTCGCTCTCTCGCACACTCGGTGTGTCGGAATAAAACCAATCGCAGCCACACAATGGAAAGCGTTATATCAAGTGCTCAACAAACATACTCGAAAACATCAAAAGTAGACAAAAAATCAACTAAAAAAGAACGAAGCAAAGCCTCAAACAAAATGTACTATATGTTTGAAAAAAAGGAAAGAAAATGCACGGGCAAAAACACACACACACAACAACAACAAACACCTTCTCGAGAGAAAGAGAGAGAAAAAAGCACACACAGAATGTTGGGCTGCTGTTGCTTGCTATTACTGTTATTATTTTAGAATTGGTTTGGTTTCGGGGCTTCGAATTTTTTATTGTTGTGTTTCGTGTATGATTTCTTCTCTCGGCTGGTTCCAAAGCCCCATAGTCAGAGAGCGAGCCGATCATTTACAAACGTTATGACAACGCCGATGGATAGAAAGAGAAGGACGGGTATTCGCAAGCGATACCGCGATTTTTCGTATGTGCACATCTCTCCACACACAATTCGATGCCATCGATATGTACGTACACAATGTTGATTTTTACACGTACGATGAGCTGAGTCTGTCGATGTGCCCTCGTCCCGTACACCCGCCAGCCCCGCGCATAGAAGAAAGAAGAAGAGAAAGAGAAAAAAATGCATGTATGCGCGCACTTAATCGAGTTGCATATGAAAGAGCCAAGGCAGAAAGCAGCAGAAGACCCATTACACGTCTCAACATTTCTTTGCTTTGTTCACGGCTGTAATTTCCAAAGCGAGAAAAGACGAGAGAAATAAAGAAAGACGAGAAGAGAAAGAAAGAAAAAACAAAACGAAACGCAACACGAAATAAAAGTCGTCGAAATGATAATCATTTCGTGGAGCTTGAATAGCAACAGCAGCAACAACAACAACGGCAAGAATATTGTTATGCAGTCGCGAAAATGGCATTTTTGCTTTGGACTATGCCGGATGATGAATGAGGCAAATCAAGAAAAACACCGTGTAATTTTCCAAGTGCTTTCCATTTATTTCCACGCAATGCTCCTCCCCCACCATCCCCTGAACAATTCGCGTTTATAAATAACGGAAAAAAATAGAGGCGAGATGGAACATCACAGCCAGAGACGACAGGAGAGGACGGGAGACGACAACGACGTAAAAAATAACAACTGCCAATCGATATCTCCATTTCGGTGGCTGAAAAAATGAAACGCGTAGCGACCAAGAACTTTCGTCAACAAAATAGGCGGAAAAAATACCGAATTGCTCGGGCCGATTTATCAATGCTATCACCCCTCGCGCCATATTCCCGATCCACTTGAAGTGGTCTCAGGTATTCGGCTTCGCTGCCTTTGATTATCTGTAATTAATAATATTATCGAAAATTGAAACAAATCCGAGTAATTTGATTCAACAGTCTGGCGAGAGAGAGAGAGAGAGAGAGAGAGAGAGAGAGATCATTACAACATCGGAAGCACAAATATGTGCAGTGGAAACGGGCTATGGAATGGAAGTGCGAACCGAATCAAATCGACAGTGGCCGTGGCGGCGGCCGTGGCAGCAGCAACACAGCAAACACAGAGACGAATCAGTCGAATCTAATTAAAATGCATGCAGACGCAGGCAATCGCATTCTCGCTACTTTATACATACATTTGCTTTGTTGTTGCTGTTTTTTTTTGAATTCTCGCTCTTTCGCTCGCTCTGTTCCAATCTCATTGTTGGAAATGAAAGCACGATTTTTCGATTTTTCCACTTGGTATCATTTTTCCCCCCACATCGTCAGCCATATACACACATATTCTCGGTCCCTCTCTCTCGATTGCATACCAGCCAACTCAGTCTCTTTCTCTCCAGCTATCACTATCCTAGCCTATGCGTCTTTGTGTAATTGAAAGAGCGATGAGCATAGCCGAAAAGAAGCATCAGCAGCAGCGTAGCTCGAGCTACGCAGTAACCTTCGAAAGTTAAAATATGTACTTACACATATCCAACGATGGAAAACAAAGCCAATTGCTTCGAGTTCTCTTCCATTTTTTTTCTTTTTGTATTCATCCAGTGCGATGCCATCGCCGTCGACGACAACAAAAACAATGATATAAACCAGAGAAATGAAACGAGAAAAAAAAATGCAACAAAGAAAATAAGAAATAGCAGCCCAAGTAACATTGTTTGTATCTGATTTACAACTTCGGAGAGAAAAAAACATCACGAAGAACCGAAATCAACAAAATGTATCTGAAATTGATGCAAACAGAGAAAATAATTGGATTGTGAGATGACAAGCACGAGGCACACGAATATTTGAATAATGTTTAGCGGATAAATACCCCAAAATCCCCGTAATATTGAATCAAAATTAATTCTGATCATTTTGCATAAGAGGGAGACGCATGTTCGAGGGATGAGCTGTGCGGAGGCGGGTTTGTCTATATATTGGGTGTTTTGCTAGCGAACAATAGGTAATTCAGCGGTCAAAATAATCTAGTTCATTGCATCAACAGTGGCTCAGTATTTTCGGTTGACAATCTTGAAGACGAGACGTTAAGCATCTACTTTAGCATAGAAAGCGTTGCTTCGTGAAGACACCTTTCAATAATATTTTTGCGACTTTCAATACTTTGCCGTACATTTTTCGGAAAAATTTGATTATATCTCTGTTTTCGATCCCATCGCATCCCATGAGTCATGACACCATCGATTTCATCGCCAATTAAAAGGCATCATTCCTGGTCATCTGTGTGATAGAAGTTATTTTTATCATAAAACTGAACAATGATGACTTAGTTTTCAAATGGAATGGAGCTAGCCATTTCACCATCGCTGAAAACTCGAAGTCACTGGAGAGTCTTTTTTTAGTCGGAAAAAATTCTTTTAATTTTGAATCAATTTTTTTTCGATAAAAATGTATGAGGATGCAAAAATAGGGGAAAAAAAGCAGAAGATGAGCGGAGCGGATGAAAGATTTCACAAAGAGAAAACACTAAATCGTTGAATAAAATAAAGTTCACAATGAAAGATCTTGTATTATACCGGTGGTTATATATGGTTTGACTGAATTTCAAGAAAAATTTAGCGATACATCATCATTTGTGGACGTTGAAAGCGAAATTCAACGAAAATGAAATAAACAAGAACGAATTGGATGGAAATTATTCATAGTTTAGTTATACTAGTGAAAAAAAAAAGAATTGCATCAAATGTGTTGTTCATCTGGTGGCGAATGATGTATTATATCAACATTCAAAGAGCTTATCGAATGTATCCATTCGAAATGGTTGTTGTTCGAAAATGCAGTCAATTTTATTGCTGATGTTTTTTTCTGCTCATCTTCTTTGAAGTGGGAGAGAGAGTTTATTTATTGGTTTGTCGATGGTGGTGGTTTTATTGAAATTGGGTGCTATCCCTTCGTCAATGGATTTTGATCCCTTTGTTTTTACCTTGTGCCAAATATAGACAAACGTGCAACATCACAACACATTTTCATATTCACATTGTTTTCTCTCTATCCTCTTTATCTATCTGTTGTTCGGGCGGCCGGAGGAAGGTCAAAATGAAAATGGCCACTCGGAAAATTGTGTGTGTAAATTCTTCTCTTTATTTTTTTTCTTGTTCAATTTTCTCTTTGGGACTGTTTAACGACCAAAATATATCCATACACTTGAATACATGTGAAGGCAGAGTGCTCTTGCAATCGATTATAAAAGTTATAATGAGAATGCAACCACTGTCTCTCTTCTTCTTCCATCATCATCATCACCATCGAATTTTTTTGTTCGTTCTTCTGTTTTGTTGTATTCATCGCAGTTGTCGGTTGAGCCAGAGCGAGCACACATTTTGTATGGTCAAAACACAGTCAGAAGCAGCAGCAGCAACGTACGTATATATATCAAAAATAATATCATATGATTGGCATGGTTGTGTATGGTTGTGTAGTGGTGAAGCCCTTTTATATGTTATTTGTACGTGCTTCGGTGTTTTTCTCTTCTCTCTCGCTCTCTATCTCGACCCATTCTCTTCGGTATTGCTGTGGCGGTCGCTGTCGCAGTTGCAATGCTGTTGTTGTTGGTATTATTATTCTGTATTCCTTTTGTGATGTTGCTGTTGTTTTCATTTAATCATACTTATTTCGGCTGACTCGATTCTTTGGCTGGCTCAATTTTTTTCCATTGTACCAAATCACTCGTTTTTTTATGTGTGCGCCCGCTCTCTCTCTCTCTCTCTCTGCCTGCGTGTATATATGTGAGTGTGTCTGTCTGTAAAAGCATCGATTCGGAATGTTCTCCATTCCCTACGTATAGATAAATGCGTATTATTTCTTCTGTAGCTGCATTTGAAGCGAAAATAAGAAAAAAAAACAAATTCAACTTTATTTCATCTTTTTTCTCCCCGGTTCCGTACGCCCCAGACATTTTCGGCTAAACGCTGTCTTTGATGGAAATGTGGGTGATAGAAGACGAAAAACGATTCCCTATCGCATAATATGCAAAAATGGAAACCCAAATTGAAATGGAATTGATGAAAAACAAAGACAACATCGACCCGATACTCGCACACACACACATATTTTATATATCGGTTAGATAGTGTACATTACAGTCAGTCGGTTTTTTTTCGTTGTTTTATTCATTCTTCTTCTACGTCGTCGTTTTCAATGCTCTGTGTATGCACTGCTGCTGCTGCTGATGTGCAAAATCGCTACGGAATCGAGAAATTTTTATTTCACACAGCTGATGATGATACATGCACGCAATGTTCACGCGCACAATCACAAATATACCAAAATATAAAAACACAAATCAACCGTGTAAATTTCATACGGACACACACACACAGAGAGAGAGAGAGAGAGAGAGAGCACACACAAATCTCATTTGTAAGCCGATGTAACTGGATGGATGGTGTTGAATCAAAGAGAAGAAGATGCTCGCCAACAGCGTAAACATTTCCATTTTCCAACCAAATTTCTACGAAACGGACGATATTCTGCGAAAACTCCACCAGCTCTCGACAGTCAAAAGAGAAATTTGAATGTAAATTCAGAAGAAAATTCGTTTCTGTAAAGTTTTTTCTAACGATTTTTCCCTTTGGAGATTTAAAATCTCTAGATTTCTTCTTTAATTGACTTTCAAAGGTTCATATTCAATGTTTCTTCGTTTTGAAATCATTTTTAATTCATATTAATTCACTGAATTTAGATAAAAATTCAAATTCATGGTAGAGGCATGTGCTTAGCTTGAACACTTCTTAGAGTGTTTATCTTAAAATGATTCATCATCATGATGAAGACGAATTTTCCATGGATTTTGAGATGAAGTTTCTGTGCAAAACCAGTTTTAACTACGACCGAGATGAATTGGCTGCGGAACAATCGACGTCAAAGAAAAAACGCAAATTTCGGAAAAATTTAAATTCAATTTCGACTGAATGAAAAAATATTATTGAAAAAAATCCGATTTCATCGAATCTCAAAACAACTCAATTGGCGAAGAATGTTGCTCGAAAGATGGTTGTCATTTTCGGAATCGGCCGATGTAAAGTAGTCGAGTTAGTGGTTTAACCAACGACCGATATTACAACGTAGACATTTAAATGCATTCGAGCAGCCATCGAAAGAGAGCGAGCGAGCAAGAATGAAGCGCTGAGCATCGATGAAATTGAAATGAGACGGAGAGCCATAATCGAACACACAACATAACCAGAAGGCCAAGAAGAGACGTGATGAAAGGGGCAAAACAGAAGTGTAACACACACACAAAGTGAGCGAGCGAGAGATTGGTGTGCGGAGCGAACGTGTGTGATGGTTCGACGAAAACGGAGAAAAATACACTCAATTTTCACGAAATGCACCGAAACGACAAGATCGGACGTGTTTTGTATGTTTCAGCTGTATTCTGCGCAACAATGTTTCTAGTATTCGTACCGTTTGGCAAAGCCAACAGCAACAGCAACGTCAGCAGCAGCAGCAGCAACGAAACAGCCGACCGAGTATGCACAAACACCATCACACCATCGAGTGTGTATGTAAATATCGGCCGAAGTACGCATACACTGGCAACCAAATCATATGGTCACCACCACTACACACGTATTTTAAAAATACGACAGCACAACATCAAAAACATACTGAACCGTCGTTTTTTTCCTCTTCTTTTGCTTCTGGTTGCTTACACCATACACACGGACACACAATACGGAAAACACAAGCATCGGACTACATTGAATACAGTGAACGGCTGTGTGGCGTACGTGCCAAAGTGGGGACACGAACAGATATAGAAAAATATCGTATGTTTTATACCGTCTCGTTTGCGCATTCAAATCAACGGCAGTCTCTCCGGCTGCCGCTTTGTATGTGTATGTGCGCGCATGCATCGGTGTGAGTTTGTAAGATAGTGTATTTGGTTGCGACAAGCTGAGCAGCAGCAAACTGTATATTTCATGAATATACATGCGAAAAAGGTATAAAAGGAAGAGACACAATGCCGGCCGGGTTAGTCACACTATAGAATTGCTGGTATTCGTATCGTTTTGTTATTGGTTTCAAACTAACAAATTTCCAATTTAATCATATTTTTTATATTTAAAAACAACAATCCAATCACAACTCGCTTAAAACACATATAAAAACAACCAACAACTCTCAACAATCGAAATCAAGTCAAACTAAAGTTCTCAAACCGAAAAAATTTCCAACAAGAGACATCATCAAACACCAACAACAACATAAAAACGGAGAGAATTTTTTTTTTCGTGTTTCATTACAAACAGAGAGACTATTGTTTCAATTTAAAACAAAAAAATTCCAAAAAAAAAAATTGTTAAATTGAGCGAGAGCAAAATTTGTTAAAAAATAAAAACGAAAAAGAAAAGAGAACGTTTTCATTCGTTTTCTGTTTCTTTTGGATAAAAGTCGAAATCATCGTATAAGTGTATAAAGAGATAATTTTTGTTTTGTTATTTTTGAAAGAACGTTTCTCTCAGAGAAAACGCGCTGCTAAGAATTATTGAGATTTAAAACAAGAAGCATAAATTCGAGTCAAAGACCGTTAATCGGGCCATTCAAAGCAAAAGAAAAAAAAACATAAGAACGATTTGAACCAATTTCCAAGTCAAATCCAACGAACATTTTTACCAAAAAAATAAAATCAAAATCTTTTAAAAACTACAAATATTTTTAGCTTTGAAAGCACAACAAACTCTTAGCACACCAAGAAAAAATTATGGAACATTGAATAAAAGAAAACGACGAAAAAAAAATCAGCCGATTTTTTTTGAATCACAAATTTTCGCATGTTAATTCATCCGAAAAAAGCAAACAAAAACCCGTTGAATTTTACGTAAAATATTCTGTGTTGTAATTGTATTAATATCCGTGTGTAATTTTTTTATCACCAACAAAATATCAACAAAAATCCACACTAAACAACCAACCAACCACCAAGTTCATAATAAAATCATCATAAAATTCTGTGTGTTAATCTCTAAATAAAGGAAAAAAAAAACTCTTTTCCTTGTCTCCAAACTAATTAATACCTATATATCTATATCGAGATCCAATAAAAGTTGTATAAAAACCATATACAGAGAGACACCAGTGTGAATGCAGAGAAAGAAGAAACATTGTACATTTTAAATGCGATTGCAAATTTAACAGAACACACACAACAACCCTGTATATTTCAAAGAAAACAAAAATCGATGTGATCATTGAGTGCTGTGACAAAAATCAACAACAACAAACAACAAAATTGCGAAAAGGTTTCTTTTAAGAGTAGCTTGTAAAGTAATATAAAACAAAAGTCTAAAGAGAAAAAACAACAACAACAACAGCACACCGTTTGATTGATGCAATCAAAAAAGACACTGTTAACGAAAATAAAATCGTGTGCGAATTATTGAACAAAGAAAAATCAGAGAGAGAGACGGATTTGTGTATCCCGAAAATTCGATTTGTTTGACGAACAACAGGCGAAATCGAAGGAATCTGGTGTGTGCGTACGCTTGAAAAATAAACCACGGAAGGCCAGCTGATGTTAAGTTTTGATATCCTACTTCTAGTCTCGCTCAGAAGCCGTTAATTAAACGAAACAAACGATTGTTTTTCATTTCTCCGGAAATCGACTCGCCACTGACCACCGATTTCCAGCCAATATATCGACCAAGCCAATACACACATTAACACACAATATCTCTCCCCTTCAAAAAGAACGCGACCAAAAAACAACACTTTGTCGGGTTTCTTCGATTAACCAACGAAATTAAACGAATTTTTGTTCCCAGTAACTATCTCTCGTAAAATAAAAAGAGACGAAAACAAGTAAAGAATAAAACACACGGTATTCTCGCGAAAACAAACAACTCAATAATAAACATTTCCAAAATTGACGACGTGATCGAAGAAGTGATGAAAATGGAAGTGCTACCCGTTCAGAGTCAATTTCAAGGACAGTTCGGTGTGATGGGCTCATCCAAAATAAAAGGTAAGCACACACAAATATTTTTTTTTTTTTTTTCATTTTTTGTCGATTGGATATTTTTAGACTCGGTATGTTAAAAACATTTTGCCCATTTTCCGTTTCGCGTCCCTTTTGTCTTTCGTTGGCTCTCTTTCTTCAACACAAAAGAAGAAGAAGAAAGCCCCAAAAAAGAGAGCAAAAAACAACCGAACAGTTTCTTGTTCGAACGTGTTTAATGGAAGATCATGACTATAGATTCGCACAACCGAAGCACACAAAAAAAAGGTTTTCGCTTGCGTCGAATAACACAAAAAAAAACTTTCTGTCTTCTAAACTCACTACGTGAGATTGTGCACAGTTTACACAAAAATTCTTCTCTCTTTTTTTGTTCGCCAAGCGGAATTATTGCTCGCTTTTACCTTCGTCCGTTTGTTTTTGGCAGAAACAAAAATAGAATTTTTTTTTCTTCTGTTTTGCTGCACTAAACAAACAGAAAAATTCAGTCGACAGCGACAGAAAAAAAAGGTTCACGCGAAAACCAGAGGGAGAGAGATAGATAGAGTGGAGAAAAAAAATACAACACACGAACCACTCTGTCTAAGAGTGATCACTTTTGCTCCACTCGTTCCGAAACAGAGAAAAAAAAAATCATTTCGTTGTTTTCTCAGCATTTCTCCCCCGTGCAACGAACAATGAGTGTTACATCAGACAGAATATAGGGAGAACAACGGCAACAGCAACAGCAGCAGAGAAAAAATCCACACAGCTGAGAACGGTTAATCGGTTTTTTCTTCTTCTTCTTCTTCTCCAAGTGTGTGCGGTGTTGTGTGCAAATATCGTGTTGATTGTAATTTAAATATTCTGAAGGGTGATTGCAGGCACTTGCTTTCGATTTTTATTCTTGATTATTTTGTATTTCCACAAGTGTTGAATTTGTTGCTTTTATTTATGCTGTTTGCAAAACGAGCGCAGAGAGAAAACATTGACGGACAAGAAGAAACACAATAACATCGATAGCAACACAAATCACTCACACTTCCGAATGTCACATACTGCTCGACGCAAATCGGCTACAATGTTCATTAAATTCACACGTATAAATAATGCATGGTGTCGAAAAGTATCATGCATTTTATTTAGTTCGACTGAGTGAACCTGAAGCTCTGTGGGCCCAATCTTCGGTTCGTTGATGGTTTGTACGACGAGACACAGTATACTTTGTTGCAATTTTAATGAAATGATGTTGCTTTTCTTACTCTCTCCCGCTCGCTCTCTGCCTTTCTGAATTGATAAGTCACACACACACACACACACACACAAAATTGCAATATCCATAATTTTCTTAAGTGGCAACCATGAGTCACAAGTTTTGTTGTTGTTGTTGTTGTTATTACTTCTTTGTTGCATACACTTTTTGACTTCATGCGATTTGCTGTCAACCGTGTATTGTTTGCTGCTGCTTTTTTTCCCTGCTTCTATGTCTCTGTGTGTATGTCTCTCTCTCTCTCATTTCGAATGGTAAATTATTGCATTCAAAAACCGCCAAATTAAACCGTTCAAACGAGACACACACACACACACATTCACAAAATTATGGAGATCGAGTTCAGCGACATTGACGAAGAAAGAAAAACGGAAAGTTTTTTCGATTCGATACCACAATTTTTTTTTCTTCTCTCTCTGTCTTCACTTGGATTTTATTTTTAAATTGTTTTTTTTCTTCTTTCTCTGTTTTGATTTTCGATGAATCATTGTTTCGAAAATGAATTCGGTATCGATATTCGATGTGTGTTGTGTATGACTAATTTTTTTTTTTCGTTCATTTATTCGAATTCCTCACTCAGTCAGAGTAACTCACAGTTTAAAAAAATGAAAGAATTTTCCATCGCAGTCCTTTATTCCATTCCATTCGTCATATATGCTGTTTAACACAGAACAAAATAAATTATACGGCACAAAGGATATATGGAGAAAATTGGTGGAGAATGCAAAGCGAATGCGAATAGTAAAAAGAAAGCAGAGAAAAAAACCCGAACGGAAAAGAAACCTAATCGATTCCATATTTTAAAAAAAAGTGTATAATTTCAATGTATTTTCCGTAGCATTTTCTCTTTGCTCCATAATTTTTAGTGTGTGCGTGTTTTTGTTCAAACTGCTTCATTTTCTCTCTCCCTCTTAACTGATTGGCGAAAAAGGGATTCGATTTAAAAATGAAATCGTTTATTTTCCCTTTCTCCGTTTGGAATATTCCAATTTCCGTCGAGAGCAAGCGAGCAAAAACAGAGCGATCGAACGAAGCTAAAACGGAAAATATTGAGAAATAGAGAGATAAATAGGTGGTGAACGAATCGAAATTGAAATGGGAATTTTCGAAAGAAATTGTTTAAGCTTAGACTTTGGGAAGTTTCCATAAACCATATGATCCAAGAATAAAAATGAACATCCACAAAATCACCATTCAAAATATTCTTAATTTTTTTATTCGAAGGTAATCAGAAAGAAAAAAAAACAAAAACGACGATGGGCCATAACGATCAACAACTAAACTCAAGAAAAATAAAAGAAATAATAATGAAAATGTGTATATAGATAAAGAAAAAAAAAAACCGAGAAGACGAGAGAGAAAAATTGAAATTAACGAAGTGGAAAAATTACACATGGACATGCAATCCATTCCATTCCAAGTAATCGTTTTGTTCCCTGAACACACTGATCTGACAAACATTAATAATTTATCGAACGAGAAAAAAAAAATTCCGATAATAATATTTTTAAACAACAACAACAACAGCAGCAGCAGCTAGAGCCAAGAAATAGTAAGCGCCCCATGTGTGAGCGCCTGCTGAATTGTCCAAATTGCTAAAGAATACACACAAACACACGGTAGAAAAAAAAACCATTGGAAATAATTTAATATATACAAAGTGGTTGTTCGTTTGCCTCTAAGTACTCGACAAAAACAACGATCAACCGAAAAAAGGGAGAGAAAAAAAATAGACAGAGATAACAACAACAATCGTAATGGTCATGAAAAAAAAAACGTTTAAATATTTACATATCTTATAATTTTTTGTGGTTTTTTGTTTCCATGTGTTGTTTTTTCTCTTTCTTTCTCTCTCACAACATTTCGAGGGTTTCAGTATTTACCTATATGTGTGTCTGTATGCCAAAAATAAATCCCGTTTTCTCCGCACACTTCGATGTGATTGCCGTTAAAGCTTCTTTTCCAATCGCACGAGACATTTCTCATGTCTAAATCCAACACGCGATACCCCGAACATATTTCATCATCCAAAATGTGCTTGTGCTAATGTGCTCTAAATGTCGCTGCTATTTTGTTTAGGAGCACTTTCGAATGTCATTCAAGTATTGCCATTTAATCAATTGAACACGTGAAGAACAAAGAAAAAACCTGGACCGATTGAGAAAAACGGGCGGAAAAATAAACAATTTGGAAAAAAAAGTTGGGAAAAAAACTTCCGTCAAGTTTCTGTTTCTAAGCCTAAGCTGAAAAAAAACGAGCCCCGATCCGATCGATCTTTTTGTAACGAAGAATACTCATGCGTTGGCTGTGTTTGGTTGTTTCTATTCGCGTGTGACACACTGAATAAATAATAAATAAAATTGTGTGTTTCGCTCAATAATTCTATTGAGATGTAGCTGAATAGTGTCATTTGTAACTAGGCAGCTGTTTTAGCTCTGTACGCGCTCGCGCGCGCGCGCCTCTCTTTCGCCCCACCACCAATCATCTGGCTGTAACTGCTGTGGCTCTAATTATTTCATTTTCAATATGCAAACCATATGTGCAAATTATAATGGGCCATTTCACAATTCTCTTCCAGCATTGTGTTAGACAAATAGGAAATAGTTTAAAAATAATCGAGGAAACGATTTACGAAGCGAACGAATATATGCGACTTGCTTGGGCTGTAGGAAAATTTTTCGTTGAACAACTTCACGCAAACATAGTGGTTCAAGCGAAATGAAAGCGAAACAAAAAAATGTGTGACCGTTTAAAATATGCCAACCGAGCAGGAGAGAGATAGAGAGAGAGAGAGAGAGAGAGAGAGAGAGAGAGAATAATTAATATTATATAGAATATGTTTAAAGGCAGTCAATAAAGTAGTCAATTTTTCGTTTCTCGTTGCTTTATGCTGTTGCCGCTTCGTTTTTTTTTCTTCTCTTCTTTTCTTCATTCGAAAGTCGCGCATATGCTAAACAGCTGTTTGTGTAGCGCTTGCTAATACATGAAAGAAAGAAAAGAAAAACAGCTGCTTCCTTGAGCACACCATTTCTGGAGTTATTCTCTCTCTTTTTCTCTCTCTGTGTATCGTGTCGCATTCAAATATCATGCAATGCGCGATTGAATGCCGTTGTCGGGTTTTCGTCGTTCGGTTATTTATCTGTTTCTTATGTGTTTGGAAAATTGGTATGCAGCTTTTCGTCGAGTTGAGCAACAAACAACGGCGACGACAAACCGGCCCATTCCATTCCGAAAATCTCATTCACACTCTTCAAAAATGTGTATAATATGTTTACAGCTCAAAAAAGCACGTTGCATAAACAATTAATAATTGATAAATCATTTGGCGAGCGAATTGAAAAAAAACACACACACACTCCATATGAATAAATCTGACGTCAGCCCAGAAAAAAAAACTCACACTGTGAAGTTTGATTCTTTCCATTTGTTTTCGAACAAAAAAAAAGATAACGGCTGTTTTTCTACAGCTAGAGAAAGAGAACGAATAGCTTCAAATGAACATTTCAATTTACTTCCCATGTGCATTGCGTCACATTACAACAATTGTTGGCATTGTTCAATTTGATTCGATACACACACATCTATCTCGTATGCCAAGGATAAACACGATAAATTGGTGTTTATTAAAAATTGCCTGCTTTGTCGCTTTCAATATCCAATTGCGCGGGGGGGGGGGGGGGGCGTTGAATGTAAATGCGAGTGCTTTGTGCGCTCGTTTACACACATTTAACTAGAGAGACAGTCACATACATTTAGCTCG